CGCTGCATTGTAACTCCTCGGAGGGTAGTTGTTGTTGAGGGGGCAGTTGGCAATCAGATGACCCGGCTGTTTGCATTTGTAGCAGGTGGGACAGCCATTCCTGTGGGTAATGGCTGGGTGGTCTGGCATATCGGGTAGGACCCGCCGGCACCGGCATGCGAAATTCTGTTTGCGGAGATGGACGGTACGTGTCCCTGGATTCAGTGCGAGTGGCCGTTCGGGAGCTACTAAATTCTTGTACCCGAGCGTCCCGGTGCTCGTCCGCTAGTCTTGCGGCTTCGTTAAGATCGCTCATCCGGCGATCCTTTAACCATTCCCGTTCCTTTTGCTCCAGTCCCTCATAAAAATGCTCTAATAAAAACAGTTCCAACACTTCAGCTGCTGTGACTGCCCGACACCCATTCATCGTGTCGCTGCTCTCCGCATTCTGTGAGCCCATTCGGCATGGGTATCATTTGGCTTCTTTTCCGTGTCGCAGAATTGCCTTCGGTACGTGTCGGGGGTTACTGCGTACCTTCTCAATAGAGTGTCTTTTACCAGCAGGTATTGAGCGAAGTGCTCCGTGCTGAGAGTCCTGAACGCCTCCATTGCCCGCCCGGCTAGTTTCCCTGCCAGTATCCGCGGCCAGGCCTGTTACGATTGCCCCCGGTCTAGCAGGGGGGTTGATCGATTGGATGTCCTGGTTCCCGCAGTGGAGAGTCGAATGGAGTTCCTTGGGTAAAAGCTGCAAGTGTAGAGTATCCCAAACACGGTATAAGCATCAATATCCCGGATCCCTACAACATGAGTCGAGGCTGCAAGTTGAGGGTCAAAACGAACTGGCTTTACTGGCACACAAACATGGCAATTTATGCAATTCTTCAGGTCCAAGGACCTGATGGAATACAGGTACAGTACAAACAGGTAACCAATCACAGTACAGTGTATCATTTGAATTAGTACCCACCCAGCTTGGAGATAATGAGGTTATACAATCTAATTATCTCCAGGCGCACAAAAGACCACGTTTTATTATGCCTCATAAAACTGTATAAAAATACATAACTTCAACATTAATAGGGGAAAACGGTTCATTCTACCACTCATTCAATAGCTCGAGTTCGGGTACATCAGATATACGAATGGCGCTCCAATCCCGCTAACAGAATGAGCAATTTCTGCCGTATAAAGTCAGTTCGGTATTTTGGGTCGTGAGTCCCTGATGGCGGCCATGTTTTTAGACGGTTTAACGAGCAGCGGGACCTCGCCTCCAACTTATGGAACTGAACTCGGATATAGGTTCATGCGAATCCCCGCTGTCTGTCTGGTAGTGGAAATTAGGACCTCCCGGTAGCACGGTACTTGAGTTGTGGTTAACCGCAGAAACCACAGGCTAATTGCTGACACACGACCACTGTAGGAGGTCTACGTTCGTGAGGTTGTTCGGTAGTTCCCATTCGGTAATTGGTGTGCAAACGTCGATCCTCCTTGCCCGTCAATTAGTTTGTAGTTAACCGCAGACCGCAGCCGCCTGGGTGGTTAATGGGCGCCACACTCCACTTGTCGGGTGGTCGGTCATTCGGTACTTTGCGGAGTGAGGAGGTTAATTGGCGGCACACGCCAGCGTTTGGGGGGTCTCCTGTTCGTATCACGAACGGTTCTTTATAAGGATTCGTATAGTCCATTCGTGTTTTCTCCGTGTTAAAAGTATAGGGCTGCAACAGTAACAACACGTGGTAACAATAATGGAGTCATTTCGAGTCTTTTGTAACAATGCTCCCTCTTTGTGGAACACTCTGGCAGACACTGTCTGACCCATTTTCGGGGCAGACAAAGGCTGTCCAGACTGACAAATTTTACTGGGCTGAGGTCAGTCTGTCGGGATAACCCGTCGGCGTTGCCATTCTGCTTTCCGGGTCGGTAGGTGATGGTAAAATTGAATGGTTGTAAAGATAAGCTCCAGCGTAACAATCGTCCGTTATCCCCAGCAACCCGGTTGAGCCACACCAACGGGTTATGGTCTGTAACCAGAGTGAACTCTTGTCCATACAAATAGGGGGTTAACTTCTTTAATGCCCACACCAGGGCCAAGCACTCCTTTTCTACCGCAGCATAGCTGACTTCGCGTGGTAGGAGTTTTCGACTGATGTAGGAAATCGGGTGCTCTTTCCCATCGTCTCCTACTTTGCTGAGGACAGCTCCCAGCCCGAACATGGAAGCGTCTGTATGAACAATAAAACGTTGATTAGGTGCTGGGGCAGCCAAGACAGGAGCATTGATTAAAGCAGTTTTGAGCGCTTGGAAAGCGCACAGTGGGGAGACCACAGGACCTGTCGGGGAAGGTTTTTCTTTGTCAGGTCGGTCAGAGGTTTAGAAATAGCACTATACTCGGGTACAAATCTCCTGTAGTCACCGGCGGTACCCAGGAAAGCTAGCACTTGGGTCTTAGTGTGTGGGGTCGGCCAGTTTGCGACCGCCTCTATCTTAGCCGGGCTCCGGACGCTGCTTTCCGCATCCTACTCGGTGGCCCAGGTACTATACCTCAGCCATCCCAAAGTGGCATTTCTCTGGCTTCTGGGTCAGGCCCGCGGCCCGAATCTGATCCAGGACTATTCCCACATGAGCTAAGTGTTCCTCCCAGGACTCACTATGGATCGCTATGTCGTCCAGGTATGCGCAGGCAAATTCCTGGAAGCCATCAAGGAGTCTGTCCACCAAGCGTTGGAATGTGGCGGGGGCATTCTTCATCCTGAACGGCATGACCTTAAAGTGGTATAAACCGAACGGGGTGACGAATGCCGATTTGGGAACAGCTTCCCTGGCCAGAGGGATTTGCCAATAACCTTTACAGAGGTCAGTGGTAGTTAGGTAGTTCCCCCTGGCTATGCGGTCCAGCAGCTCATCCACTCTGGGCATGGGATAAGCATCGGTGACGGTTTTGTCATTGAGTTTCCGATAGTCCAAACAGAATCTGGTAGTACCGTCTTTCTTGGGTACCAGAACCACCGGGGATGCCCAGGGACTATCGGAAGCTTCAATGACCCCTAGCCGGAGCATCTCATCTATCTCCTTCTTCATGCCTGCCCGAACTGCCTCCGGGATTCGGTAGGGGGCCTGTCTTAAAGGGGTTTGCCCGGGGGTATCTACTTGGTGGGTGGCCAGATCGATGCACCCTAGTTCTGAGAGAACATTGCTTGTTTCTCTCGGAGCAGTTTGTGTAGCTGCTCCCTCTCTACTGGGGTAAGTCGGTCCCCGATCTGTACTTGGTTCACTACTTCAGACGGGGAGTTGTGGGTCAATAAGTCGAGTATGGGGAGACTATCTGAGTCCTCAAACGCAGGACTACATATGGCTGACACCTCCTCTCGCCTCTGTAGGTATTCTTTCATCATATTCACGTGAAATATCTTCCGTAGGTTCTCATCGTGACAGCTGGCAATCACATAGGTAGTGTCCCCCCTCTTCTCCACTATCTGGTAAGGGCCCTGCCAGGCTGCTTGCAGCTTGTCTGCTTTAACTGGTTTGAGTACCATAACCTTCTGTCCTATACAGAAGATCCTCCGCCGTGCCCCCCGGTCGTACCAGACTTTGTCACCCCTGGGCCGCCTGGAGGTTGGCCTGAACTGACTTAGCCAACCGCTCCATACGGTCCCTCAGCTCCAGCACGTAAAGCACGATGAGGACCCCAGCGTTCTCGGTCTCTCCCTACCAGTGCTCACAGATAAGGTTCAGGGGGCCCCGTACCTTACGACCGTATAGCAGCTCAAAGGGAGAGAACCCTGTGGTTTCCTGGGGCACCTCCCGGTAAGCAAACAGGAGGTGCGGCAGGAAACGTTCCCAGTCTCTATACTCCTGAGTGAAGGTTTTTAACATTTGTTTGAGGGTTCCATTGAACCGTTCACATAGCCCATTGGTCTGAGGGTGATAAGGGGAGCTTAGGAGGGATTTTATCTTACAGACATGCCATAGCTGCTGAGTTAGCTCTGCCGTGAACTGTGTCCCTCTGTCGGATAGGATCTCCCGAGGGAATCCTACCCAAGAGAATACCTGCACTAACGCCACAGTGTCTGCCTGGATGTTAGATAAAGCCACGGTTTCCGGGTAGCGGGTAGCATAGTCCACGATGGTAAGAAGATATCTCTTACCAGATGGAATGGGGGTGGCTAGAGGCCCTACTAAGTCGATGGCTACCCGGCTAAACGGCTCTTCGATAATGGGCATGTTAATGAGGTGTGCCTTGTGGTGGTCCCCTCTCTTGCCTACCCTTTGGCAAACCTCACACGTATTACAATAGGTCCTCACATCTGCATGTACCCCTGGCCAGAACAGGGTATGGGTAATACGATGGAGGGTACAGGTTACTGCCAGGTGTCCGGCTAAGGGAATATCGTGGCCCACCCGGAGTATATCTCGTCTATATTTGTGGGGTATAACTAGCTGTCTCCTACGGTGGCCCTTCTTCTCTATGTGTCGGTACAGTCGGCCCTGTTCCCATGCGAAAGTCTCCTGATCTGATCCCCCAGTCCCTGTATCGGCCCTTTCCCTATACTTTTGGGGCGTCGGATAAGTTTTGGTCTCAGCCTCAAAGGCTGCAGGGGTGTCCCAGGGTAATGGGGCAGGAGCGGTGGTCACAGTCGGGTTAAGTCTTACCTGAGTCTCCCGCACTGGTGAAGGGTCTCGAGCTCTCCCTGCTTGCGACCGGGTAATCACTGGATGTGCCTCAGAGTTGTAGGAAGGTGCATATGCTGAAGTCATGGGACCCAGGTCGTTGCCCAGCAAAACTTCAGCCGGTAGGTTATCCATAATCCCCACCCTCACAAGTCCTTTCCCCGCACCCCAATCCAAATGTACCTTCGCTGTGGGTAGCTTGTATATGTCCCCTCCAGCCACCCGGACTGCAACAGTGTCGGTGGAGCGCTTGTGCTCAGGGACTAGTCTGCTTTGCACCAAGGCGATAGTGGCCCTGGTGTCTCTTAACCCCTGGGTGGGACGACCCTCCAGTAGAACTTCTTGCCTGTGATGTTGCCTACTGTCACTTGCGGCATACACGGGGTTAGCTTCATGTAGGGGTCCCAGGTATTCTTCTAAAAGGCTGTCCTGCTCAAGGCAAAAAGCTTGGGCTGGGCGATTACTTCCCGACGGGGACGAACTATAGTTCCGTGTGGGGTAGTTATTGTTGAGGGGGCAATTAGCAATCAGGTGCCCCGGTTGCTTGCACTTGTAACAAGTGGGACGGGAGCGCTCTGGAGTGTAGTGGCTGGGTGGTCCCGTGTACCGTGTAGGTCCCGCTGGTACAGGTATGCGAAACTCCGTTCGTGGGGTTGTTCGCTACACCTCTCGTGTTTCGGGACGGGCTATCATTCGGGAGTTACTGAACTCCTGAACCTGAGCATCCCGGTGTTCGTCCGCCAGCCTTGCTGCTTCGTGCAGATTATTGGGACGTCGGTCTTTCAACCACTCTCGGTCTTTCTGTTCTAGGCCCTCATAAAAATGTTCCAACAAAAAAAGTTCCAATATTTCCGCTGCCGTGACGGCCCGACACCCGTTAATCCAATGTGTAGCAGCTCTCCGCATCCGGTGGGCCCATTCAGCATTGGTATCATTCGCCTTCTTTTTCGTGTTGCGGAACTGTCTTCGGTAAGTGTCTGGGGTCACGGCGTACCGTAGAAACATAGAATGTGACGGCAGATAAGAACCATTCGGCCCATCTAGTCTGCCCAATTTTCTAAATACTTTCATTAGTCCCTAGCCTTATCTTATAGTTAGGATAGCCTTATGCCTATCCCACGCATGCTTAAACTCTTTTACTGTGTTAACCTCTACCACTTCAGCTGGAAGGCTATTCCATGCATCCACTACCCTCTCAGTAAAGTACTTCCTGATATTATTTTTAAACCTTTGTCCCTCTAATTTAAGACTATGTCCTCTTGTTGTGGTAGTTTTTCTTCTTTTAAATATAGTCTCCTCCTTTACTGTGTTGATTCCTTTATATATTTAAATGTTTCTATCATATCCCCCCTGTCTCGTCTTTCCTCCAAGCTATACATGTTAAGATCCTTTAACCTTTCCTGGTAAGTTTTATCCCGCAATCCATGAACCAGTTTAGCAGCCCTTCTCTGAACCCTCTCTAAGGTATCAATATCCTTCTGAAGATACGGTCTCCAGTACTGTGTACAATACTCAAAGTGAGGTCTCACCAGTGTTCTGTATAATGGCATGAGCACTTCCCTCTTTCTACTGCTAATACCTCTCCCTATACAACCAAGCATTCTGCTAGCATTTCCTGCTACTCTATTACATTGTCTGCCTACCTTTAAGTCATCAGAAATAATCACCCTAAATCCCTTTCCTCATATGTTGAGGTTAGGACTCTATCAAATATTCTGTACTCTGCCCTTGGGTTTTTACGTCCAAGATGCATTATCTTGCACTTATCCACATTAAATGTCAATTGCCACAATTCTGACCATTTTTCTAGTTTACCTAAATCATTTGTCATTTGGCTTATCCCTCCTGGAACATCAACCCTGTTACATATCTTAGTATCATCAACAAAAATACATACCTTACCATCAAGACCTTCTGCAATATCACTAATAAAAATATTAAAGAGAATGGGTCCAAATACAGATCCCTGAGGTACCCCACTGGTGACAAGCCCAAGCTTCGAATATACTCCATTGACTTCAAACCTCTGTTGCCTGTCACTCAGCCACTGCCTTACCCATTCAACAATATTGGAATCCAAATTTAAAGATTGCAGTTTATTGATAAGCCTTCTATGTGCAACAGTATCAAAAGCCTTACTGAAATCTAGGTAAGCAATGTCTACTGCACCACCCTGATCTATAATTTTAGTTACCCAATCAAAAAATCAATAAGATTAGTTTGGCATGATCTCCCTGAAGTAAACCCATGTTGTCTCTGATCTTGAAATCCATGTGTTTTTAGATGTTCATCAATCCTATCCTTTAACATGGTTTCCATCACTTTCCCCACTACTGAAGTAAGGCTTACTGGCCTATAGTTGCCCGACTCCTCTGTGGCGAAACCGACCTCGCCACTGGGCATTGGAGAGGACTGATTGCTAGCCTCCTGCCCTGCGACTATGGCCCTGGGATGTATTGCCCTTTAAGAACATGATTTGGGCATAAGGGATTTGTGTTGTGCTGTTGCTGGCCCTTTAAGAACCATCTGGGGACATACTGTGGAGTTACTGGGTGGCCACCATTTCCTGTATCTGAAGCACATGGTGAGAACAATGGATGGCGGCCATTTTAACTCACGGACACTGTTTGGACGGTGCCATCTCGCCAGTATTTGGTGCACAGAGACATCGTGCAGTGGTTTTGGACTATACAGCAGGGTACACATTATACAGTGATTGTTTTTCATTTAGCCTGTATATGTTCTGCAGAATCTGCATTAAACTGTATTTTCCAAAGTACTGAACGGATCTGGGTGAATTTTGGATATGTGGTTCACCCAGATCCCCCAGTTCCAAGGATATACTTTTTATGGGATTATTGCATGTTTTGGGGTCCCTGTGATGTGTTTTATGAAACTGTATTTCTCTGGCTGTGATAATTAGATTACCCATTGTGTTCAGTAATCATATCACAGCCAGAGGGGAGGATTTTGTGTGGGAGTGTCTTTCTGTAATGTACGTGTGTTATTGGTTGTTATGTAAAACCCTGTGGGCAGTACTAAATTTGTGGATTGGGAATAAAAGAGGCTGTATGTGCCAGTACAGTCAGTTCCTGTTTTAACCCTCAAAGTGAAGTGTCGTCTCATTATTGGGGGAAGGATTCATTGTATGCTGTTCCAGTTTGACTGCTAGGAGAGTAAACCTATTCGTATGGTTCCTATTCAACTGTTTACAGCATTCATATGCTTGGGAGAATTTATTTGTTTCTCTGGTTCGGTGATTGTGGTGTCTGCCAGAGTGCTTGGAGTCCTCAGGAAGCGCTAGGAGCATCCTTTAACGGAGGTACCCAGTCGGGGTGCCAGGTGATCCGTTGCATCCTCCCTATTACCTTTCTTGTAAATGGGCACAACATTCGCTAACTTCCAATCTTCTGGGACTACTCCTGTTAACAATGATTGGTTAAATAAATCTGTTAATGGTTTTGCTAGTACACCACGAAGCTCTTTTAATAGCTTTGGGTGTATTCCATCAGGTCCCATTGACTTATTTGTCTTTACTTTTGACAGTTGAAATAGACCCTCTTCCTCTGTAAACTCACGTGTAATAAATGACTCATTTATCCTTTTTCTCAACTGAGGTCCCTTTCCTTCATTTTCATCTGTAAATACAGAACAAATATATTCATTGAGGCAGTCAGCTAGACCTTTATCCTCTTCTACATACTTTCCTTCTTTTGTTTTTAATCTAACTAATCCTTGTTTTACTTTTCTTTTCTCATTTATGTATCTAAAAAATGTTTTCTCCCCCTTTTTTACTGACTGTGCTATTTTCTCTTCTGTGTGTGATTTGGAAGCTCTTATAACTTGCTTAGCCTCTTTCTGCCTAATCTTATAGATAATTTTGTCTTCCTCACTCTGGGTTTTTTTTTATAATTCCTAAATGCTAACTTTTTGTTTTTAACTATTTTGGCCACATCTGTGGAGTACCACAGTGGTTTCTTGAATTTTTTGCTTTTGCTGACAAGCCTAATGCAATTTTCTGTTGCCTTCAATAGTGCAACTTTTAAATAATCCCATTTCTCTTGGACTCATTTAAATTGCTCCAGTCTGATAATGACTCCTCTACCCATATTCTAATTTTAGAAAAGTCTGTTTTTCTAAAGTCTAAAACTTTTGTTTTTGTGTGGTGTGACTCAGTCACTGTTCTTATATTAAACCACACTGACTGATGATCACTGGATCCTAAACTTTCACCTTCAGTAATATCTGATACCAAATCTCCATTTGTTAACACTAAATCTAGTATGGCCTCTTTACGAGTTGGCTCCTCAACAACTTGTTTTAGAAACAATCCCAGTAGGGAGTTTAGAATATGTGTGCACCTGGCACAAGTAGCTAATTTTGTTTTCCAATTTACATCAGGAAGATTAAAGTCACCCATGATGATAACTTCCCCCTTCATTGTCATTTTAGCTATTTCCTCAACTAGTAGATTATCCAACTCTTCAATTTGTCCTGGGAGCCTATAAATCACACCTACACTAGTTACTGTGTGATTACCAAATTCTAATGTAGCCCAAACGGTCTCTATGTTTGCCTCACTAACTAATAGGCTAGATTTTATGCTATCCTTCACATACAAGGCCACCCCTCCCCCTTTCTTGCCTTCCCTATCTTTCCTATATAAAGAGTACCCTGGTATTGCTATGTCCCAGTCATTTTTCTCATTGTACCATGTCTCAGTAACAGCGACTAAATCTACACTATCAGTTGCCATTCATGGATCTTATTCCCTAAACTGTGAGCGTTTGTAGACATGACTCTAAGCTTATCATTTTTTAACACACTTGCTACAGGCACCTTCTGTCCTTGTTTTGGGGGACAATTGGATTGATGTTTTATTACCCTTTTGCCCCCCCTCCTAGTTTAAATACATCCTAGCAAAACCTCTGAACTGCTCACTGAGAACATTTGTTCCCTTTTGAGAAAGATGCAAACCATATTTTTTGTACAGCTTATCTCCATTCCAAACAGAACTACCATGAGAAATAAAGCCAAATCCTTGCTCCCGACACCATTCACCAAGCCACAAATTAAAGTCCCTAATACGCATCCGCCTGTCATTCTGAGTGTTATGCACAGGCAGAACCTCAGAGAATGACAGTGTGGAAGCAACCTGCCGTATATCATTGGCAAAAACACTAAAAACTTCCTTAACCTCTGAAACCTCATTGCAAGCCAAGTCATTTGTCCCTAGATGGACAAGTACATCCAATTGCCCTTCCTGCTTCGCTCGCTTAACAATATTACAAATACATCTCTGTGAGAAGGAAGACATCTCACAAGACCACCATTGTCCATCTCAACACCTCTTATGATGGAATCCCCCAACAACAACTGCTTTCTATTAGGCCTCACCATAGTCTCCAAGCCGGTCTCCACAACACCACTAGTCTTAGTGCCTCTCTCCACAACACCACTAGTCTTAGTGCCTCTCTCCACAACACCACTAGCCTCAGTGCCTCTCTCCACAACACCATTACACTCTGAAAGTGCAGAAAATGAATTATGAAGAGCAACAGACTTTGCAAAATGCCTTTTATCCACAACTCTAAGTCTACCAGATCCTACAGTAATCCATCTGCCATTCCTAGTATGTCTTTGCGGCAGTGGCTTTGCAGAAGTTCCAGTCTGAGTTTGCTCACCAGATAATTTACAAATCTCAGACTTCAAAAATACAATCTCCTGCCGCAAGATAGAGAACTGTCTACAGATTAGACAACAACCAAACCTCCAGAAAGTGGAACGTGAAACAAATGCATAGCAATTGTTACACTGAACTAAGTCTGCCATTCCAATTAGGAGAATAATTTAAATCTAACAAATCTTAACTTTGTATTTATTCTCCTGAATACCTCAGATTACCTCCAGTTTATCTCCAGAATATCTCCAACTACACACTTAGAAACAGCACTCTCCAGAATATCTCCAACTACACACTTAGAAACAGCACTCTCCAGAATATCTCCAACTACACACTTAGAAAGAGCACTTAGAAGTAGCACCAAGCTATATTAGACAAGCTAATGACAACAAGCCTTATATAACTCCTAAAATCACTACCCACTAGGAATGTTTAACACCTGGGTAGGCCACTGCTTATTTGCAAACAATAGCTAATTAACCAGCAATCAATAGCAAGTAACTAGTTTAATCAAATCAAATGCCTTATTATTACCAACAGGAATTCAAACCTTGTGCAATCAGTAACCTTTTCCTACAGATGAATCTTACCTGTAACAGTAGAAAAGAAAGCTCTTAGCACAACTCTTAGACAGTTGAAGCTTCTGTAAAACTCTCCAGAATATCTCCAACTACACACTTAGAAACAGCACTTAGAAGTAGCACCAAGCTATATAGTAGCGTCTCCTTTACTGTGGGGTAGTGGGCTACTTCTTCGGCGCTGAGTGTCCTGAAGACTTCCATGGCCCGCCCGGTTAACTTCCCTGCCAGGATATGCGGCCACGCTGTGACAGGTATTTGATGTAGGGCACATTGTCTTTCGAAATCGGCTAAAAACTCGTCTATCCCCATCTCGTTCTCCACGAACGGCTTGAATGCCGCGAATTGAATCTTCAGCTGCTCCACCGGTTCCGGGAAGCCGTTGTGGCCATTAGCGGCGGCTCCCTGCTGTGCGGCCACCATGTTCAGCTTGTGGGTTCTAGCACGTATGTCCGCCTCAGCCTCTGCCATCAATTGTTGTACCAGCTCTACGGAGGGGTTCGGCCCGTATAGAGGAAGTCTTTCCCAGACAATCCTCGTCTTTTCGTCGCTGGGGGTTACCGTTGGTTCTGCCATGGTGAAACTTTGATCCAACTCGTTTAGGTCAGCAATCAACTCTCTCCTTGGTCGGTTACTTGCGTTTCCCCCTCGGCTCTCAAGTAAATCCTTTAGTGTGGTACGTTTCAACTGATCGTAGTTGCTCTCCATCTGTCCTATATCTCTCTTAGGCATTCCAGGATTATCCCACCGCTGCCACCAATTGTTACGATTGCCCCCGGTCTAGCAGGGGGGTTGATCGCTTGGATGTCCTGGTTCCCGCAGTGGAGAGTCGAACGGAGTTCTTTCGGTAAAAGCTGCAAGTGTAGAGTATCCCAAACACGGTATAAGCATTAATATCCCGGATCCCTACAACATTAGTCGAGGCTGCAAGTTGAGGGTCAAAACGAACTGGCTTTACTGGCACACAAACATGGCAATTTATGCAATTCTTCAGGTCCAAGGACAGCCCCCTGTGGACCTGATGGAATACAGGTACAGTACAAACAGGTAACCAATCACAGTACAGTGTATCATTTGAATTAGTACCCGCCCAGCTTGGAGATAATGAGGCCAACGGTTATACAATCTAATTATCTCCAAGCGCACAAAAGACCACGTTTTATTATGCCTCATAAAACTGTATAAAAATACATAACTTCAACATTAATAGGGGAAAACGTTTCATTCTACCACTCATTCAATAGCTCGCGTTCGGGTACATCAGATATACGAATGGCGCTCCAATCCCCCAACAGAATGAGCAATTTCTGCCGTATAAAGTCAGTTCGGTATTTTGGGTCGTGAGTCCCTGATGGCAGCCATGTTTTTAGATGGTTTAACGAGCAGCGGGACCTCGCCTCCAACTTATGGAACTGAACTCGGATATAGTTCATGCGAATCCCCGCTGTCTGTCTGGTAGTGGAAATCGTTCGGTATACGAATTGGGACCGCCCGGTAGGACGGTACTTGAGTTGTGGTTAACCGCAGAAACCACAGGCTAATTGCTGACACACGAGCCACTGTAGGAGGTCTACGTTCGTGAGGTTGTTCGGTAGTTAATTGGTGTGCGAACGTCAATTAGTTTGTGGTTAACCGCAGACCGCAGCCGCCTGGGTGGTTAATGGGCACCACACTCCGCTTGTCATGTGGTCGGTCATTCGGTACTTTGCTGGGTGAGGAGGTTAATTGGCGGCACACGCCAGCGTTTGGGGGGTCTCCTGTTCGTATCACGAACGGTTCTTTATAAGGATTCGTATAGTCCATCCGTGTTTTCTCTGTGTTAAAAGTATAGGGCTGCAACAGTAACAATATGTGGTAACAATAATGGAGTCATTTCGAGTCTTTTGTAACAAGACCGTTGTGGGGATTTGATGTAAAGCACACTGTCGCTCAAAATCGGTTAGGAATTCGTCGATCCCCATCTCGTTCTCCACGAATGGTTTGAAGGCCGCGAATGGGATTTTCGGTTGTCCCGTCGTTTCTGTAGTCGTGCTGTGTGTGTTGTTGAAGGCCCCAAGTGCTGCGGTTTTCAGGCTGAGCTCATGGGCTCGAGCCCTTTCGATATCCTCCTCTGCCTCCGCCATCAGCTGTCTCACTAATTCCACGGAAGGGTTCGGCCCGTATAGGGGAAGCCTTTCCTGGACAATTCTTGTCTTCTCATCGTTAGGTAGGATCGTGGGTTCTGCCATGGTGAAGCTCTGGTGCATCTTGGTCAGGTCCGCAATCAGTTCTCTCCTAGGTCTATTGCTCGCGTTCCCACCTCGGCTCTCGAGCAGATCTTTCAGCGTGGTACGTTTCAGCTTCTCGTAATTGCTCTCCATCCGTTCCGTAGCTCTCTTAGGAATCACAGGATGATCCCGTCGCTGCCACCAATTGTTGCGATTGCCCCCGATCTAGCAGGGGGGTTGATCGCTTGGATGTCCTGGTTCCCAAAATCAGAGAATCGAACGTGGTTCCCTTCGGTAGGAGCTGAAAGTGTAGAATATCCCACCAGTAAAGAAAGCGCTAGTATTCCCGGGTCCCTACAACACGAGTCGAGGCTGCGAGTTGAGGGTCAAAACAAACTGGCTTTACTGGCACACAAGCATAGCAATTTATGCAAGTCCCCAGGTCCAGGGACAGCCCCCCATGGACCTGATGGGATACAGGTACAGTACAAGTATTTAACCAATCATAACCAATATCATTCAAACTTGTACCCGCCCAGATTGGAGATAATGAGGCCAACGGTTATACAATCTAATTATCTCCAAGTGCCCAAAACGTCCATGCTTTATTATGAACCAGAAAACAACATAAAAATGCATAACTCAAGCATTATATAGTGCATATAGTTCCCTCTACATATCATTCGATAGCTCTCCGTTAGATGCATTGGGTGTGCGAATAGCGCCCTGTTTCCACGAACAGAGGACGAGATTTCCACCGTATGAAAAGCTGTTCAGTTGTAGGTTTCCAGGCCCTCGATGGCGGCCAGGTTTTTGGGTCTGTCAATGGCCAGCAGGACTTCGACGTTGAATGTATGGAACGAAGGCCGGGTACAGAATCATGCGAGTCCCCGCTACCTGTCTGGTTGTGCCATCCGTTCGTGGTGCGAATGGGGCCCGCCCGGGAGAGGCATTTAACCTGAAGTTAACCACAAACCGCAGTGCCTGAGGGCAGGTTGATAAACGGCACCCTCTGCTCGCAGGGTGGCCGGCGACTTTGTGGGGTGACGGGGTTAAGTGGCGGCACAAGCTTAGGGCTGGGTGGTCGGCCCTTCGTACTGACGAAAGACGCTTTATAATCAGTTCGCATAGTCCGTTTGCCTGGCCTGCAGGCCGTTAAACAGAGTCTCAATAAACAGAAGTGTACATTAACAATATAACCAGTCTGTGGAACGGAGACTGTGTAACAGTGAGGTACTGGCCTCGTGCCATCTTATCCAGCAGTTCGTCTATCCGGGGCATCGGGTAGGCATCAGACAAGGTTTTGTCATTAAGCCTACACAAAAGCGTGTCGTGCCATCCTTCTTGGGTACCAGCACTACCGGCGATGCCCAGGGGCTATCGGAATGTTCAATAACCCCTAGCTGCAACATCTCCTCAATCTCTTTCCTCATATGTTCCCTGACTGCTTCAGGGATACGATAGGGGGTCTGCCGCATAGGTAGCTGTCCGGGGGGCTCAACTCGGTGAGTGGCTAGCGGAGTGTACCTAGGTAAATTGGAGAAAGTGGCCCCCTTAGCTGCAATAAACTCTTGTACCTGGGCTCGCTCCTGTGGGCTTAGCCTCTCCCCCTGCTGAACACCCGTGGAGGGCTCTGCCTGATCTTTCTGCTCTAATAGGTCAGGTAGCGGCAGGTTCTCCTGATCCTCAGAGGCAGAGGTGCATATCGCCGCAACTTTCTGTCCCACTTGAAAGCTGTGGTCCCTGGCTCCCCTATCATACCAGCGGCGCTGGCGTTGTTGGTCGCCTGGAGGTTGGTCCGTACGGTCTGGGTTAATGCCTCCAAGCGGTCCCTGAACTGGGAATGGGTGTCCCATCTGTACTACTCTCCCCCTCCCAGTGCTCTCTGATTAAGTCTAAAGGCCCTCACACCCTTCTCCCAAACAGCAATTCAAATGGGGAAAAGCCCATCGACTCTTGGGGTACCTCTCTATATGCGAATAGCAGATGGGGTAGGAATCGCTCCCAGTCTTTATGTGCCTCTCCAAAGGTACGGAGCATCTGCTTTAGGGTACCGTTAAATCTTTCGCATAACCCATTTGACTGGGGGTGGTACACGGAATTCACTATAGGCTTAATGCCACATATTTTCCATAGTTTTTGGGTGACTTCGGCAATGAACTGGGTACCCCTATCTGATATGATCTCCTGGGGAAACCCCACCCGTGAGAATATTTTTATTAAGGCCTCGGCCACAGTCTCAGCGTGAATATTGGAGAGAGCTACTGCCTCTGGGTACCGGGTGGCGTAGTCTACCACGGTTAAAATATATTTCTTGCCAGAGGGACTGGGCTTTGGTAAGGGGCCTACTATATCTACGGCCACTCTACTAAAGGGTTCTTCAATGACGGGCAGTGGGCATAATTTGGCCTTGTGGCGGTCACCCCTCTTGCCTACTCGCTGGCAGATGTCGCATGACTGGCAGCACTGCCGCACATCCTTGGATATCCCTGGCCAGAAAAATGTGTGGGTCAAACAATATCGGGTGCATACAGACATGGTTCTGTACACTGGCAGAACTCTGATGCAGATCAGAATTGTGACAGTGAACAAGAAGCTCAGAGTGATGGGAGTGAAAGTGATTGCACTGTCCACTCTGAAAGCCATGTAACTGATATGCCATCTGCACTGTTGTACGGGTCTAATTCCTCTTCAGCAGACAGATCGCATAGACGTTTACCCAAACACAGAAACAGAGGTTGTAAATCAACGATGCCTGTTTATGAAACACCAAAGGTCATCAAATTCCTTAGAGAGACTGTCCCACAATTTTCTAGAGGTTCAGGAAACATATCTGAACATCTGGAAAATTATGATAGAGCAATGAATTCATTGGGCATGTATGATGACATTCATAAGAAATGGTTCATTACATGGACCTTTGATTCAATGTGTCGTGTTTATCTAGAAAGTCTTCAAGCTATACAGTTAATGTCCTGGTCCAAGATGAAATATGAAATAATCATGGAATATGGTGAGTATAAAACCATTGCTTCTGCTAAGAAAGCACTCTATAACTTAAAGTGCCGTCCAGATCAAAGCCCCAGAGAATTTTTAATAATTCTTAAAAATGCATACTGTGTGGCCCAAAGAAAACCCAGGTATGAAAGCACAGACTTCAAAGATCTGTATTTTCATGCCATGCCGGTAAACATACAAATGAATCTCGCAAGAGATTACGATTGTAAGTTACCATTAGAATGGCTAGTTAGTCAGTGCATGAAATTGTATACTATACACCATGCACATGACGAAAATCAGCCAAAGATTAAGAAACCTGGTGATAAAATGGTGTCAGAGACTAAAATTCAGTTAGGTTTAGAAACCCAACAGAAAAAGAGGACCTATTCCGAGGTTTTGAAAACACCAAAACCTCAGAAACAGGAAAACGCAGGAAGCAATTCTGCAAATTCCTCTAATAACTCTGAAAAATCCAATGCCAATGGGAATAAACGCCCCTGGGTTAATAAGAACCAAGGCAATTCCCAATGGAGAAGGAATCCTCAGGGAAATAGGAGATATGGAAACAGAAACAACCAATCTGCTTCCAATAACTCCCAACAGTCTCAGCCATCCCAGCCAAATTCTAATGGGCAAAGACAAAACGGCAATGGGGGAAATAATTTGCGTCGTCAGGTTGGTCAATTGACAGACCAGATGGGCAAATTAATGGAGGAAATGGCAAAGATTAACCAAGTCTTTGCCAGAAATCCTTTTTTAGGGATAGCTCCAATTGTAGAGCCACCTGTGCAACCGCAGCAACAACAACAAGTGCCGCAGCAATAATAGCCACTGTGACTAAACAGGCTAGGTTATCAGTAGATGTAATACCTAACCCTGTTTCCTTTCCAGGTAATAATAGTCAAACAAATAATAGTTGTGTTAGAAAACCTATTGCCCATACCGTCACTTCACTTCCGGGTGAAGGAGGCGCAACGTGTTCCTCTGTTTTTTCATTGCAGCCAAAGGCTAAGGTAGCCCCAGCAGCCACAAGTTTCCAGGATCCAGACCTGAAAGGGTTAACTGATAAGATGCCGACCACTAGTTACCGCTTGACAGTTCAAGATATTCCTAAAAAGGATGGGCCTGTGGGTAAGACTGAGCATTCCTCAGTACAGGTAGAAACTACTGCTGTGACCGGTAATGTATGTAAAACGATTGATATGTTGACACATTCTAAATTCTTATGTGAATTAGAAGAACATGAAGGAAAGTACTACATGTCTGTAGAAATACAGGATTCGCTACCCCAGCCTTTCAAAGGGTTAATAGATACTGGTTCACAAGCCACTATCTTATCCAATACCTACTTCCAGCAGGTAATAGACTTAGCAACGGATAAGCCGAAGCTAAGAGATTTCCCCAATGCTCTGTTGAGTGTAGGAGGAAATGCCCTTCATGTTATTGGCAATACCTGGTTAAAAGTTTAAAATAGGTAACAAAACCTTTAGACACCCGGTGATAGTGGTAGATCTCATCTATGACCGACTGATTCTGGGTATAGACATACTCAGAAGACTTAACACAATTATTGACTGTGTGAATGGAATTGTATGGTCACAGGCTAAGGTTCCCATAACCTATGAGAAATCACATGTACAATCTGATCGTAACTGCCATGTGATAGAAGAAAGACCTGACTCGATTGAGGTACATTTTAGGAATATTCAGTCACCTGACGTGACTATCCTGCAGGTGAATGATGCAATCGCACCTGTAGATGAGCATTCCGTAAGAGTTGCTCCAGAGAGGATCCAGAATGTCTCTCTGGAAGGTGATGTTTTAACCATTTCTCTCCACAGGGACTATGTTGAATCTGTAGATCTGGCAGGTCATGCTCAATTCCTTGCCAGAATTGAAAGGGTTAATGGATGCTGAGTACTATACATTTGGTTTCCAAAACCAAATTATAGGCCTCATCCCTGAAGAATACTTAACTGAGGACGAAATTGTCGATCAAATATTCCATTCCTCTCCAGAAGGATTATTCACTATCCTATCTGTATATCCCTTCAACGTTGAAGAAGGCTCGGAAGGCTCGATCATCCGCTCAATGAGCAGGAATCACAAGAGTATCTCGACCAAAGAGAAAAGGTAAGTCAAAACCAAACTGACCTAACTTCTAGGCTTGAAGAAGCTTATGAGATAGGCCAGCCTGAAATCTTTCCAGGATTTCAGGAAAGGCTAGAAGAGCAAATATCTTTAGCTGACGGTTGCTCCAACGATGCTGAGCGGCAACAGCTAAAGGAAATCCTTTTGGAATTCCAAGATATTTTTGCCAAAGATTCCTATGACTGTGGGTTAACTAACCTCCACGTAGCCAGAATATAAACTGATCCTAATTTACCACCTGTATTTATCAAACAATATAGACTCCCATTAGCGTCATATGATGGTCTACAAGACATCATTCAGAATTTAAAGGAAAGGGGCATTATACGTCCAGTGCACAGTTCGTATAATAATCCGATCTTGGGGATTCTGAAACCTAATGGACAATGGCGTTTATGCGCTGACTTACGACAGCTAAATAAACGCGTCTATATGTCTGGTTGGCCAACGCCATACATAGACCAATGTTTGGTACAAATGCAGGGATCCAAAATATTCACTGCCATTGACTGTGCGCAGGGATATTGGACTGTACCAGTCCATAATGAAGACCAATACAAATTGGCCTTCACATTTGGAAAGCAGCAGTATACCTGGACCCGTATGCCTTTCGGTTATATAAACTCTGGTCATGAATTCGCTGTGTTCATGCATAAAGCTATGCCTGACGCACTCGAGAGAGGAACGTTATCATATGTCGACGATGTCTTGCTGAAAAGCACTTCCTTTGATAAACATATCTTAGAGATTAGACATGTTCTCACTCAGTTAAGAGAGGCAGGGATTAAACTGTCTTTACAAAAGGCGCAATGGTGTCGCACCCATGTCAATTTCCTCGGACATGAGGTAACTTCTGAAGGATTAAATCCCCAGAGGAAGAAGGTTGAAGCCGTACTAAAGGCTAAAACACCTTCAAACATCAGGGAATTAAGATCGTTCCTTGGTATGACTAACTACTCCCGTAAGTTTATAGATAACTATGCAGAAATAACTAAACCACTCTTACACCTGCTTAAAAAGGAAACTACCTGGAACTGGGGGGAGCCTCAGGACCAAGCGGTAAGTGAACTGAGGAGGAAGCTCACTCAGGCACCCTGTTTAGCATACCCAGAGGGGGGTAAACCCTTCTATCTGGAGACAGGTTATACCGACTTAAGCATAAGTGCTGTTCTGTATCAGAAGCAGGACAGTTTAAACAAAGTTATTGCATATGCTAGCAAGACTTTGTCACCTGTTGAAGTTAAATTCAACACGTGTGAGAAGGCGTTATTGTCGACTGTCTGGGCACTACAAAATTTTCGTAGCTATATCCAAGGTGAGAAAATAATTGTAGAAACAGCTCACCAACCTCTACAGTATCTGCAGAGTGAAAGAATTAGAGACGGTAATCTCTCTAACAGTCGGATTACTGCATGGACTCTATCCTTACAGGGATGGCCGTTAGAAGTCCGTTATAAACATAATAAGAGAAGCCCAGTTGCCCAAGGTTTAGCAGAATTACATGACTGTACTGCTCCATCTCTGGATGATAATAACACCGGAGATGACTTCCTAGAAGAGCAATTGCTATCTCCTTATAAAGTTTATGACGAGGAATACTGTCGACCACTACCGTGGGTATACATTGATGGTTGTTCATATCACCACGTCGTTGGTGCTGAACGGAAGTTAGTTGCAGGTATCGGAATCGCCTGGATAGGTGCTTATCCCAATGTTTCTATAGGATACAATATTGGTCCCAAAAGCAGTCAGATAGCCGAACTCTGTGCAGTATATAAGACCATTCAAATGGCAATAGAATATGGGATCAAAGAATTTGTTATTATAACTGATTCCAACTATGTTCGCAACAGTTTCGTCGAATATCTGCCTAGCTGGAAACGTAACCAAATGCTGAAAAGCAATAACAAACCTGTTAAACATGGGAAATTGTTTTGTAAAATCGATGAGTTGGTTAAGGAAAATGGTTTAACCATATATTGGAAGAAAACCAAAGGCCATTCTAAAATAGAAGGTATTGACAAGGATGGTAATGACTTAGCCGATTCACTGGCAAAACAAGCTGCCATCAATGGTGAAACCCTAAACATTGATGATCTTATGGGTTCAATTCATGTTGAAGCCATAACTAGACGACAGGCTAGAGATAATGCCGACTTAAATGTCGTGCAATGGAGTCAAGAAGCTCCTAGTGAGGACCTGATTACCAGTCAAAAGAATGATCCCGTCATAGGCATATTCTATAAACATATAGAAGACCCTACTGCCAATCCCATCACAGATGAGGATTGCAAAGATAATGAAGATTTACGAATTTTGATGAGATATAAAGTCCAATTTAGTATCATGGATGGGTTGCTGGTCAGAACTTCTAAACATGGTATACAACAATGGGTAGTTCCAACTGTATACAGAGGGTTAATGCTCCAACACGCACATGATGCACCTACATCTGGGCATCGTGGTGATAAGATCACATATGAGATATTGTGTGATTATGCATATTGGCCACACATGTTAAGGGATGTTAAGACATACTGTCAGGGATGCTTGATTTGTCCGGAGTATCAACCCCATGGTCCAACCCATCGTGCACCACTTCAGAAGAGGGGGTGTCATTACCCTGGTCTGATATTCAAATTGACTTTATAGGTCCTGTAACAAGATCTTCAAGAGGTAACAAATACATGTTAACCGTTACATGTATGTACACAAAGTGGATAGAATGTTTGCCTTGTAAAGAGAACACGAGTACCTTGTGCGCCACTTTGTTGATTAACCATGTCTTTTCCAGGTTCGGTCTGCCTCAAAGAATTGAGTCAGACAGAGGTAGTCATTTTACCAGCGAAGTAATGGCTAAGATGTGGAACATTCTAGGTGTTAAACGAAAGCTACATATTGCATACCGCGCTGCGTCTAGCGGGGGGGTAGAGCGATATAACCAGTCTATCATTAATATTCTGAAGAAGTATGTTAATTAGTCTGGTAAAGACTGGGACATTAAATTGCCCCTAGTTTTAATGGCGATTAGAGCTACACCTAGCACTGCTACCAAATTGTCACCTTTTGAATTGATGACAGGAAGAAAGATGGTTTTACCACAGCATTTACTATATCGTACTTCGGATCATAACTTGATCAATGCTGCCACTACGCATCAGTATATCGAAGATTTGCGCAAGCATTTACAGCGTGCGTTTGCTTTTGCCCAAAAGAATCTAGAGCAGCGACAGGGGTTAAGACCTATTACGATTTAAAAACCACGAAAAAGGAATGAGATAACAGATCAAGTCTATCTGTATAACTTTGCGCGAAATCAAGTTAAGGAAAAGAAATTCTTACCTTCTTGGAAAGGGCCATATGTCATTATTGACAAAATGTCCCCTGTAGCGTATAAGATAAAAATTCCTAAAGATGGTGATTTTATTGAAAAGTGGGTTCACATTAACCAGTTGCGTGCTTGTCATCCTAAATCTCAATTAAGGATTATAGGTGCGGATTCAGACGCAGAAGGGTGAACGACTAACCTGGATGAATGCTTGATTCACGTGGTATCGTATGATGTGAATTGTTGTGATGTGCCATGATCTCATGTGCGTTCATGTCATTAACCATTTCCTTGCCATCCAATAACTAAAAAGCAGGTTACTAGCTTGTTTAGCTGCTATAGGCGAAATTACTGAAGAGTCAGTAATAAATGTAGTGAGGGATGAAGTTATAAAAATAGAATTAGAGAGAATACATATGTTGATGAATCGTAATAATGTGTTGTCCTAGGCCAAGTGATGTCACACTGTTATAAGTTTGTATGCTTAACAAACCTTGAATCCTTAGTAGATAAGTCTGAAACGAGTTCCTGATCCGTGACTGTCGAAAGATGTCCAAGAAGGATGTGGCGTGTTTCTGGATCGTACTGCTCCTGTGCCAAGAGCTACGGACCGACCCGATCGCAGAGATGGGACCATCCTCCGGCATCCTGATTCAAGAGACATCAGGATTCATCTTGACAGAGAAGAGGATCCTGATCCGACGTGTGTTCGTCAGCTTGGACCCCAAGATTTCCATCGAGAAGGCATACAACATTTCATCGATGCAGCTTCCTGAGTTACAGACTTGGTACCAAATGCACCTCCAAAGAGCACAGGACCGTGTGCGAAACATCTTGGAGCAAGCCCGGAAACCATTTGTATCCAGTTCTATTCCGATGAGCAACCGACCCAAAAGGTTCCTCACCGCTATAATTGTTGCATTAGTTTGTGCCACTGTCGGTGCAGTTGTCGCAACTGGAATGTCTGCAGCCAACTCTATTACTGTCCAAAAGCTGGATATGGAAATCTATGCGCTAAAGCAACACATTAACGATATTCATCAGGTGATACAACAGCAAAGAACACTTCTCCAAGACGTGTGAACTATTGTGGAAGACACAGTCGTTACAACAAATTTGCATTCAGAGTTAATTGCCAAATCCACTGAGTTGCACTAAAGTCATGACTTATTTAAGCGTGAATTTCTATTTCTGCATGACCCAATATTGTTCCACACACTTGCTTTTCTTGACGAAGTGCAAACTGGAATGATCGAATTGGCAGGGGGACGCATACCTCTGTACTTTGTAGCCCAGGATATTGTTCATGCGATGCTTGCCAATGTGGATGGAGAAACAATTGAGCCTATGCAATTAAATCTGGCCTTTGAGATAGGGAGCGCTATACCTCTCTTAATTGATCCGGAACGTATGGAGATTTGCTTTTTATTGGCCATACCCTATGTAACTCTCAAAGACATTTTTCAAATGAAAACAATGTACTATGTAATAATGATATTATGGTTGATTGTACTAAGTGTAAAGTTCAAAACTATTACAGGTACAAAATGTTCATTCCATGTACGGGCCTATGTTAGAAATGATGTGATTGCACAATATGTCTGGTAACTTCTATAGTGCTTATTCATAAGCTAAATTAAATTTTGGCTACGAAATGCACTAAAGGGGGGTTATGTCAGGGTATTTATATCGGCAGACATCTTGTGCTATGATAGAAATTAAAAGTGTATATGCTAAGTCACTCTAAACAGAGCAGACTCCATTTTGTTATTTCCAAACTAACAAAAGACACAAGATTTCTATCTGTAAAACTAACCACTTTCCCAGAGCTAAAGGAATGATGTATATACAAACCAAGTGATAAGGAGAACAGGGGTTGGATAGACTGTCTTAAATGCTAATGGAATAGATGCATATCTAAACACAGACATTTGTGACAGAGAAGATTAAATAATAAAATTTTACTTTTTATATGTACAAGGTCCCATTGTAAGTTACGGGTCAAAACTCAGAATTTGCCAGACACATAGTCTGGACAAAACTTAAAGAAACTGTTTGATCTGACAGAAAACGTAAGTTATGGCCACTATAAAGATAAAGCCAAAATGACGTCAAAATAGCCACCAGGAAAAGTTAACTCTTTCCTGGATAGGTATGTTTAGTGGGACAAGACTGCCCTCTATAGACCAAATACCTAAATTGCGATGCCTAGGTAAGCACACCTCTAGTGCTTCTATTGGGTTGTCAACTGATGACGTACAGAGTCTGGCCCTTTAAAAGTTAAGACAAAAAGGGGGAAGAGAGATGAGGAATGCAAGGGTATGCAAAGAAAGCAAAGAAGTGAGCAGTGGGGAGCAATGACACTCTAGGACACTCAGAAATTCCTACACACCTCCATGCAGAGAGACATCCAAACAAGTTCCTGAGACTATCTACCAATCGGATGAAATATCTACTCAACTGGTAATTATACTGGTTTCATTTAATTAATTAAATTAATTAAAATGTACTAATAGCATGATATATGACTGGATAAATCACGGTCAGATTTCCATATTAAGAAATCTTAGTTAACTAAAGAATATATAGTTATAAACATTCCATTCTGCAGGTGGAATTAAGAATAATTATATATTAATGTGATAGTATCACATGTTAGCATACCGCTGTTTTTATCCAGGTGTATTGATTTGCTCTAAATTAAGATAAAATATCTTTTAGACAAATTAAAAACAAATTCTGATTTTGTAAAAATATGGTAGATTCTCTTATTGGATGGTTCCAGGAAATGACTAATGAACTGGTTTAAATATTATTTTATTTAAAATTACATAAGAATAGATCTTAATTACCTAGGAGATCTAACCAACATTGAAAGGGTTATTCTAACTGTTAGCCAGGGTTTAATGGCCCTTCGCTGTGAAAAGCTTCACTTTCAGTCTGTAAGGATACCTCATAAATCGTGTAAGTCTTGATAGAAAATGCTGTTTAGCCATTGAAACGTGTATACCCATTCCATTGTATTGCATACCATTTTATACTGGATATTCATTGATTGTCACGCATGTTACATATTATTATTAATTAATTTGTTATTATAAAATAAAATCTATTTTTATAACATTGTGATTTATTTATATGAAATACTTTCCACTTAACACGATAACGATCTTTGAGATCTGAGAATTGAATTAGTGGGCAATTCTCACTGTTTACTATTATTATCCCATAAATATCCCCACAGTTCAGGAGTTTGTAATGCGACAGAGGATACCACAAACCCCAGAAAGAAGCTCAGCAATGACTATGGTACAAGAGGGTAAGTCAAAGATACCCTACCAAGCTTTTAAAATGTATGTGGCGGCAGAGGAAGACATAGATGCCTTCCTCCACGATTTTGAAAGACTATGCTTTCTGCACAAAATCAATGCAGAGGATTGGGTTCCCATCCTAGCTGGGCGGTTAACAGGGAGAGCCACCGAAGCTTACCGCACTGTACGAGACGCAGAGATCCAGGACTATAGCTGGGTAAAAGAGGTTATCCTGGCCCGGTATGCCATCACACCCGAGGCATATCGGAGGCGCTTCAGGGAACTGAAGAAAGCCGAAAAAGACTTGCACGCTGAATGGGCTTGTCGATTGCACCGGGCAGCCTTCAGATGCATACAGGCTAACCAAGCACGATCCATGGAGGACTTACTACAAATACTATTGTTGGAGCAGAGATCCAGGAATGGGTGAGGGACCGCAATCCCACCTCACTCACAGGAGGCGGCTAAGAAAGCCGATGACTATTTGGATGCCCGCAGGCAGCACAAACCTATGGTCAGCAAGCCCACAGTACGACCGCTAGGGGGAACCAGCTACCACAACAGCACAACCGCGAAAGCTACCACCCCCACCACCAGCCACTTCTCAACAGAGGTACCGCCAGCCCAGCTCTGTGTAATGTCACAACAAGCGAGACTGTCCCCAACTCCGAGACCGATCCACCTGGATCCGACCACCACCGAGAGCAGCAGCCCACTATTACCAAGACGAGACCACAGCCTCCTATGGCTCTGTAGTTCCACTCACCACCGTGGAGCAGTGGTAAGTGCTACACGAAGCAGACCCCTTACAGGCAAATGCAGATAACCACATCACAGACAAACCGTCTACCTGGAGGGCAAAGCTGTACAAGGGCTCCGCGACTCAGGAGCCACCATAACCCTGGTCAAAAGCCACCTAGTAATGGACAAAGCCAAGACCAGCAGGACTGTAGCCGGGGGAGCAGTATACCGGCTACCTACAGCAAGGGTTCATTTACATTGGGGAGCGGGGTCAGGAAATGTGAAAGTGGGGTTGATGCCGCAATTGCCAGCGGAGGATTTGCTGGGGAATGATCTGGGAAAGCTCACTTCTGCTTTTGAGCCCCAGGCCCCAACCACTGGAGAAGCTCATCCTGTGGTCACCAGACAACAGGCCCGCACCCAGGACCACAACACACTACCGGAGGTTCAGGTAAGAGATCCTTCCCCTTCCTTAGACTGTGTCCCCTGGGCCCCCCCTAACGAATTTGCAGCACTGACCCTACCTTACAAATATATAGGGACATGGTCGCATGTGACCAACCCGGGGGGGAGGGCGAGCGATAAGCAGCTCTTATACAGGGAGTCAGACAAACAGATAGCTGGGTCAGACCCGATTGTTATGAGGCAGCTAGTGGTACCGCAGCGGTACCGAGCAGAGTTGCTCTGGATAGCGCACGATATCCGCCTATCCGGACATTTAGGGGTCAGTCGCACCAGGTACCCACTGACCCAAAGTTTCTTTTGGCCAGGAATCAGCCAGGAAGTCCGCAAGTATTGGTAGGGAAAAGGGGGGACCGGCAGAAGGCAAAACTGCATCCACTACCCATAATTGAAGAGCCATTTAGTAGAATAGTGGTAGATTTAATAGGCACCCTTCGGAAACCTAGCCCTTCTGTCAAGAAATACATTTTAACTGTCATAGACTATGCCACTAGATATCCAGAGGCGGTGGCACTGACCAATATCCACGCTGAAATGGTGGCCAAGGCTCTCATGCAGATTTTCTCCTGGATGGGGTTACCCAAGGAGATCATCTTGGATCAGGGTACTCAATTTACCGCGGAGGTCACCCAGCACCTCTGGAAATTCTGTGACATTAAGCCTATCATCAGTGCCCCCTACCATCCCCAGACCAATAGGCTCTGCGAACGGTTCAATGGTACATTGAAACAAATACTCCGAACCTTCGCCGAGACCCACAGGGGACTGGGAGCGATTCCTGCCCCACCTCCTCTTCGCTTACCGGGAGGTGCCGCAGGAGTCGACCGGGTTTTCCCCATTTGAACTGTTATTTGGGAGGAGAGTAAGAGGACCCCCTACACCTTATTAGAGAACATTGGGAGGGAGACCGGAGCGCAGTCCGTACCCCATCATACCATAAGTGTTGGCATTCTGAGACCGCCTAGAAGCGCTAACCATGCCGTTTGAGATGAAAAATGCTCCGGCTACCTTCCAGCGGATGGTGGACCGACTCCTAGATGGGTTCCAGGACTACACCTGCGCATATCTAGATGATATTGCCATCTTCAGCAATACCTGGCCCAAATAGGAGCGTTTCTAGACAGGATTAGGGAGGCTGGTTTGACGTTGAAACTGACCAAGTGTAGTAAAGGGATGGCCGAGGTACAATACCTGGGACATCGAGTGGGCTGTGGGAAACAGAAACCAGAACCAGCCAAAGTAGAGAGCCCAGTGGCCCACTCCTAGGACTAAGACTCCATATTAGCGTTTCGCGGGACGGCAGGGTATTATAGTAAGTTTGTTCCCAATTATAGCACCCTGACCAAACCCCTTACCGACCTTACCCATAAGAACCTTCCCCGCCAAGTAACCTGGACCCCGGAGTGTGAGCAGGCATTCCAACATCTGAAAAATGCACTTATAAATGCCCCTTGTCTTGGCAGCTCCCAATCCAACTAAACATTTTCTTGTTCACACAGACGCTTCTATGTTTGGATTGGGGGCAGTACTGAGCCAAGTCGGGGCCGATGGCGGAGAACATCCCGTGGCACCCAGAGAAGTGAGCTACGCCGCCATCGAGAAGGAATGCCTGGCTGTGGTGTGGGCCCTAAAGAAGTTGCAACCGTATTTGTATGGACAGCCCTTTTCATTGCTCACGGATCACAACCTGTTAGTATGGCTGAACCGGGTGGCTGGAGACAATGCCCAGCTGCTGCACTGGAGTTTGGCGCTGCAGCCCTTTGACTTTAACATTCAGTACCTCCCGGGCAAACAAAATGGAAACGCTGACGGGTTGTCTAGACAAACAGACTTGGAAAAATGATTCGTGAGCAGCCCGGACATCCCCAAGCCGATCCGTACTGGTTCAGACTTTGTATACCGGCTTGAGGGCAAGGGGGGGCAGTGTAGCGGATGGCATTGGGCTGTCCACAAAATTATGTGTTGTAATATGCTTTTGTTTAATTTTTGCCGTATGTATATGTATTGTATGCAGCATTCGTCTGATTGTTCGGTAAAATCGCTCCGTTTATTATACGAGTGAAACTACCGAACAATCAGACCACCCCAGGAATAAGTGTGCCACCAATTACCGTTCGCAACAATGTTGCAAACCCGTAATTGGCAATCAGTGCAGTGTGTGCTGTGTCCTCTGGGTGGCTGCCGTTCGGGAGACGAACACGTGGCAGCGGCCATCTTAAACTCCCGAACAGCGGTGTTTTGCCGTCGAGTGTCTGGAACTAAAATCGGACACTCGACTAGGCAAACACCGCTAAGACCTCCAGCCTTCCATAAATTTGTACCTAAACTACTGAACGAGCCGCCGTTCGGTAGAAAGAATAATGCAAACAGGGGGATTCATACGAACCCCAGTATAGCCACAGATGACAGACATTTTGTGATTTTTATTCCGCAAACGGACACCAACCACAAGGCCAAAAGTTATGGAACTATTTTCGGCTACTGTTGCCTGTGCGGTCGGTCCAACTTTAAACCTCCATAACTCCCGTACCCCTGGTTCGATCTGGGTGATTTTTGAGTATGATACTCACCCAGATCGGGGCTCTCAGGGGATGTAAAATGTAGAGGTGTACCTCTAGGTTTAGCAGTACATCCAGAAAATGAGGAGAACTGTGTCCTGCATAATGGGATTATGAGTCATACTAAGGGGAGGCGATGTGGGGGTGGCAACTCATGTATGATTGGTGTACTGTATAATTATTGTGGGTGTCTCCCTTGCATGGGAGAAATGCTTAAAAGTGGACTCTGTGATTAAAAGTTTAGTTCTGATGCTGTGTGTCGTCCAGTCATTGGGATCTGTATTGGGATATTCATGGATTACCTTGCTTGCTGTGTCTATTGTTATGTGGGATTTTATTACTTGTTCCTGAGCCTCACTGTGATCTTTAGTGGAGATAACCTGTGAAATACCAGTTCTCCGCTACACTAATGAATACCATCACTAACTATAATATCTTCCCATTGTAATCCTGATAAACAAAATTTACTCTTAGCCACTAACTCACTAATTCTTAAAGCTGTGAAAAATGCTATTATAAAACTAATATCTAAGTAAAACTAACTCATACGCAGAATAGCATACCGCTTCCAAAACTGCAAATAACTGTGACAGAACTGTAAACAATATCGGTTTTCTATTATCCCTAACTCTACTAGCTCTTCTACAACCACAAACTAATGGATTCACTATGAAATACTGTTTGACAATCACACAGTTTCCTAAAGAAATCCACCCCAGCTAAACTACAAGCTAACTTGGACTTAGAGAAACCCCTCTGCATTGACACCAATGTAAATTGTATTGCACTCTCCTTATCCTCTCCAAACGGATCTTTATTGTTTAACTTATTAAATTTAAACCACTCATTCCATGCCCTGGCATATGCACTCCACGTAGAAGCTGCTACCGAGTTCATCAGCATAACACTTAACTGTCCCCATTCAAATCCCAGAGGTCTGACAGGAACTGGGTTCTTTCCGCAGCTGCTCTTGGTGCCAATTTTCTACATTCCTGCAATTGTAATAGTGAAAGAGCATCAGCCAGCCTATTGATCCTGCCTGGAATATGCTTAGCTTTCACCCAAATATTCAACTGAAAACACCTTAACACTTAGTATTCCCAGCCTGCTCTGTGACTCAACATTGAACTCTGGAACTGTGAATGAGAAGTTATTATGGTCTGAAGCAACAGCACATATCAAAATGTACACGGTATTGGCGATTGATTGAAACATTTTCCAATGACAGGTTATAAAGCTGACAGGACATCTGTCAAGCTGTTATTTATATTTTTTGTGAAATAATTAATCATATACTTCTCGTTTTTTTATGGAAGAGAAATTGTCCAGTACAGCAAATAGGGGGATGGGGAGGGATTTGCCCCAGCTGTTAATAACTGCGCCTGGGAAAATTGATACGACGCAGTAATGCACTGATCAGGAAATCCCAGTGGTCCAATACAGAAATAAATAAATGGTCATTCACCTTCTCTGCGTCCAATGAAAGGAAAATGGAAGGTATTGGACTTAACCAAGCATACCATGCCAAATCTTTGTTACAATGGGTACTTTAGTATGCCCTTCTGCCAGGGATGAAACCTACCTGACCCAGGGGGATCAAGGACAGGAGGACAAAAATTGAAAGCAAGTTAGCAAATATTTTGCAGACAAATCAGACTTCAGTGAATTTACATGGTTTCAGGATTCGAGTGATATTAATTCATAGGGAATTCTCGAGGTTGCACCTAAACGGGAGAGGGACTGCAGTGCTGGGGGATAGGATGGCTTGAAGGTTGGAGGAGATTTTAAACTAGTAGTAGGGGGGAGGGTCATAGCAATCTACAAAATGGAGATAGGACAGAAAGGAGATGGGCTTCATCTCAGTATAAGGGGGTAGAGACAGGGGGAGGGGCAAGCTCAGAACAGAGAAGGGATGTAATGTTGATAATTCACAAAAAGTACAATTGACTCATGATATTAAAAGTATGCTTACTAATGCAAGGAGCCTAAATAACAAAATGGGGGAACTAGCATACACTAAACAAAATGACATGATAGGCATAACTGAAACATGGTGGGATGAGACACATGACTGGGCAGTTAATTTAAATGGGTACATGTTATTTAGGAAGGATAGGAAAAACAAGAAGGATGTTGTGGTATGGTTGTATGTCAACCATGAGTTAAATCCAAATCTTAAGCAAGTGGAATGTGATGAGGAAAATGTAGAAGCTTTATGGGTAGATATGTGCTTTGGGCAATAGAAGGGAAATCAACTATTGGTTGGGATATGTTATAAACCACCTAATGTGAATATTGACGAGGAACAACAGCTGTTTAAGCAAATTGAGAAAGCTGCAAATCTGGGTAACACTTTAATTATTGGAGATTTTAATTACCTGGACATAAATTGGGACAGAGGGACTAGTAGCTCAGCAAAGGGAATTAGGTTTTTGAACTTGTTAAATGACACCTTCATGTCACAACTTGTACAAGAACCAACTAGAAAGGATGCTTTTCTGGACCTGGTTTTAACAAACAACGTTGATCTTTTGACCAATATTCAAGTAGGTGAGCACTTGGGAAATAGTGATCACAATATAGTGTCCTTTGAAATAAACTCATAAAAACAAAAGTACATGGGGTATACTAAAACATATCATTTTTAAAAGGCCAATTTCTATCAGTTAATGGCAGCTTTACAATATATTGACTGGCATAAACTCTTTAGTGAAAAGAACACTGTGGATAAATGGAAAATATTCCAACAAAAATTAGAAAGGTACATTTCTCAGTATGCAAAAAGAAGGAAACAATGTGTATACAGGCGCTTACAATTATTGTAGTGGGAAAATTCGTGCTGCTACCACCAATGTGCAAACCTCTCACAACTTGACACAGAATACCATATAGAAAGTGAAAGGGATGGTAAAAAAACCAAAACCAATCTATAGGTGGAGCTCTCTAAGTGAATAGACTCACCCCACTCTTGGTCTATGTAAAATGACCTATACGTGGGGATAAAATGAACAATAATATGGTGTAGTATATTGTAAATATTGTTGAAATTAATAGTGGAGAAAATAGAACCACTCACATGGTTCTGAGCCTTAACAGGACAGGCTCAGATCTCTCAAGCTGGCGTGTTTTAGGGTCACACGGAACCTATATGCAGGCAGGGAACTCTTGATACCTTCAATGGATGGAAACCAAAATATAGTGCAGTATATCAGCATAAATGTGATTACCAAGAAGTTGAAAATTGCTCACCTGGTTCAGAGCCTAAATCCTGGCTCTGAATGTATAACTTTATGTGTCAAAAAGGGGACACAAAACCCTTTAGGATAAATAGCAGGAACACAGGATACTGGAGTAACAATGGATTGTAGGAAAAACAATTTATTGTAAAATATAGACTAGCTATATCGAAAATAAAAACTATATAAAAATACAGCATAAAAGAAATCCTTAGTCCTGTTACTCCTCCGAGACGCGTTTCGCCCAGCGGCTTTTTCAATCGGTGTATTCATCTGTGTTCCGGTTTTCTTTTTATATCTTCAAAAAGGCCTCCCTTGATTGCGGATGATCAGCAGCTGTATTGCGTAACGTCATTCCCGCTTACTTAGAAAGGTACATTTCTCAGTATGTACCATTGGGTAATAAATATAAAAGAAACAAATTGAAACCAATGTGTCCTATTAAAGAACTAAAACAAGAGATTAAAAATAAGAAAAGCGTATTTAAAGCATTTAAATCGGACAAATCAGATGCATCCTATCAAAGATATAAGGAAGTCAATAATGCGTGCAAAAAGGCAATTAGATTCGTTAAATGTCAAAATGAAAAAATTATAGCTAAAGCGAGCAAAACCAACCCCAAAGCATTCTTTAAGTACATAAATTCTAAAAAAAAAAAAAATGTAGGTACACTAAAAATTGGAATGGGGGTGTTAGTTAATGAAGAACAGGAAAAGGCAGGAATTTTATATAACTTTTTCTCCTCCGTATATATTAAAGAAGAACCCATGGCATTAGATGTGCAAATGATTGCTGCTAAAAACTTGCAGAAAAATTGTAATTGGTTAATTCTGTTTGGAATGGAAATAAACTGTACAAAATATATGGTTTGCATCTTTCTCAAAAGGGAACAAATGTTCCCAGTGAGCAGTTCAGAGGTTGTGCTAGGATGTATTTAAATTAGAAGGGGGGGAGGGGCAAAAAGATGATAAAACATCAATCAAACTGCCCCCAAAACAAGGACAGAAGGTGCCTGTAGCAAGTGTGTTAAAAAATTATAAGCTTCGAGTCATGCCTACAAACGCTCGCAGTTTAGAGAATAAGATCCATGAACTTGTAGCAATAATGGCAACTGGTAATGTAGATTTAGTCGCTGTTACTGAGACATGGTATAATGAGAAAAATCGGCCAATTACAATAAAAATGTATACCAGTAAGTACACTTTCCCAGTAAAACTCAATAAGGATGATATTACAATAGGATGAATTTGATTAGAATGGCATCTGAAATAGCAGAGAAACAAAAAACAACAGTGTGAACTGTACAAAAAAATGGGTGATAAATCAATGTAGATCCCGATCTAGGGACAGAACTGTACATTTTCAAAGAAGGGAACCTTTGATTGCACGTCCCCCACCAGAAAAATACCCAGTTAGGAAACATACTACTGTAAAACCTTGCCAACTACGTGAACCATTTACACCAAAAAATAAGTCCTATAAAAATAGAAATAGGCAATTCCAAAAAAAACAAGCTCCACAGTATAGAATGTTATGGACAAAAGAATTAAAATAAAATGGCTATTTACTAATGTCTATTTATTCTGTGTTCACTATGTTAAACTGGCTGCTAGAGTAAACCTTCCCTTCCCCCCTACAATGTGTTCAGTAACTATTTTTTCTGCAAATTCCTCCCATCCTGCTAGCCTCCCCCCTTCCCATCGAGCAAGCCTCGTGTAACAAATTCCTGTGTTAAAAGAACAGCTTCCTTTATTAAACTCCTCCCCCACTTCCTTTGTGCATATTAACAGCTATGTGCCACATGTAACAAAATGGAGAATCACTGTTAAAGTAACTGTTTCCTCTTCAGCCCCTCTCTGTTCAGTAACTACTACTCACTCCCCCTCCCATCGTGTAACCAAGATGGAGCTGGAATATGGGTGGGAGAACTCTGTAATGACGACACTACATCCTGTAGGGGGGTTTAGACAAGACCCCTTAGACTGTTAACCAATTGTTGAATGAATACTGTATGTTAACTGTGACTCTGTAGGGGGGCGTGGTTTCGGCGCGAACCAAGATGGACGCTTAGAGGGAGAGCTCCGCTCCACCGGACCCTACTAAAGCTATAACGGCACGCAACCGACAGCTAAATGGGTCGTAATAAACGACCGGAGCAGCCCCAGACCCCGAAAATCCCTCAACAAGGCCCCCTGGACGGATTCCTGCACCCACAACCCGGCGCAAGCGGGGAACCAGTAGGCCCCAAGATGGTGCCGCCATCCCCGTCGGGGACGGAGAGCACAGCTCTCGATCGAATTGAAGAGAGGCTGCGCAGTCTCACAGCCTCCATGGCCACAAAAGATGACCTCAAAACCCTCACCACCACCATACAGGACACCCTCAAAGCAGAGATGGCTGGGATCAGAGCTGAGGTAACTGCACACGCTGGCCGCATCACACTGCAAGAAGAGGCCACTGAGGCCCTTACAACTCGTGTGGCAACTGCAGACACTGCAATAGCCCGCCAGGGTACAATGCTCCTCTCTATGAGAAGACACCTTGAGGACCTGGATAACAGGGGTCGGAGGTGCAATATTCGCATTAGGGGCATCCCAGAAGCAGAAGGGCCACCAGAAGATGTGGTGGAAATACTTACTGAACTTTTTCAGTCCATCCTGCAACCAACCTCACCGCAGCACATAGAGTTTGAAAGGGCACACAGAACCATGCGGCCCAGAACCCTGGAGGATGGCCCGAGAGATCTAATATGTTGCCTGCATTCTTTCCCAGTCAAAGACACTATTATGAGAAAGGCACGAGAAAGACCAACCTGGCCCTACAGAGGCTCCCAAGTAGCATTATACAATGATTTATCCCCAATCACACTAGAGGCTCGGCGAGCCCTCCGCCCCGTGACGACCGCACTACGGGAACGAGACATCACCTATAAATGGGGGTTCCCTTTTGCATTGCTGGCCAGGCATCAAAATGGCTGGATCTCATTACGCTGGCCCGAGGAAGTTCCGCGATTCATGGAAGAACTAGGCCTTCCAGCACCGACGGTCCACAACTGGATATTGGGAACATCGGCCCCAACCCAGAGGCCGCAAAGAGGGCCCAGGCGGAGAGGAACACGGTCCCCCTCTGTTCAGCCTGCCAGACGGCGCAGAAACCCGACTTCCCCGGAAGAGTGAGTGCAGACCCACCTGACCCGTCAAACACCTCTTAGCATCCCGAGTCACGTGGCCTCTCAACAAGCACCTAAAAACCACCCTCCGAAGAAAGTCACTTCGATCCCTATTAACGGAGCAGAGCTACTAACTTAGACTGGGACAATTGCAGGTATGCCGGGACTATACACAAAGGGCTTTGGGTGGGGAGTTCAAGGGAACACGGGTCTACCCTGGGTGACCATGCTTCCACCAAAGTGCACCTCTCAGGCTTACCCCCCTTCCCTTAGTGCAATGACTGCCACCTCTTCCCGGAGACCTGGGTACATATATTTGGTGTGGGGGTGCTTCGGGTTCAGGCAGGGACGAATGCCATGATGAATTGGGCACTATCCCTCCTCCCGGAATCCCCAACACTCATGCCGCTGAATGAAGGCGCAAGATTTACCAGCATATTACAGAGCATGTGGACTTTGGATGAGGAAACACATTGAATACCATACCCAGCACCTATCCCAATGTTGAATCCTAAGCTATGTATGTGACCAGGGGGAGGGGGTTGACAGATGAGAAGGGTGTGCAAGACGATTCACCTAATCATACACGCCTTGCTGACGTATGACTGGTACCACCTACTATCATATACTACCACGGAAGATCCCACTAACTTCCACGCTGATCAAAAGGGCCCTTACGGCTATACATAGAGGGAAACACGGGGTGACGAGGGCCACTGACCTGGGAAATCCCACAACCCAACACTCGGGGGGGACCTCCCTCCACCCCACACATGACAGAAGCCAAGTGGGGAACATTGGGGACTCACATTGAGGCTGGGCAGCTGCTGACGGTTAAGGGGTCTTCTGGGGGACATCGGGAGATGTTAATGAAGCAATGTTGAAATGTTGAACCTTTTTATGTTATGCTATGTTATGTTGTTTACACTATGTATCTAAGACATGGATGCACTCCTCGTCCCTTCAATGATCAGATATTAAGACAGAGAGACACAGACAGAGAACACCCAGGGGCGTGGATAGCCTCCTATTACCGAGAAGACGGACAGAGTAGGCCAACGACAACTAAGTTTGCATACTTGGCCTATGTTTTCACAATAGCGTTGTCGCTGGTACAACCACCACTCACACCCACCCCGATACTCCACGCTATAGAGTAGAACACACTGCCCCCGGGAGCAGTGGGTCCGGACCATCTCGGGCACGGGAGGGGGATCACCGTCCCAGGGGGCACACAGCCAAGGCAAGGGACATTAGTGCGAGGGGGGGACACTGAAACCAACGATTCTGGGGACGCCGCCTCGACCATAGCGATGCGTACTTAAAACCACAAGACACGCCCCGCAAACACAGGAGAATTAGCTTTACACGACACTACCAAAAGAGGGTCCGGTGGGGTAGACGATCCCACTCTTGAGTTGACTACCTTCTTGGGCGGAACCTGACTCGCGTTTCCCCACATACTTACTCGTGCTAAGAGTAGTGCAGACAGGCTATAGGCGCTCTCGACCTCTGGGCAGGTACCGAGGCGAGACCCCCCTCTAGTGCTGTCTGCAGCACGAGACCTACAACCTCTATTTCCCCGTACGGGATTGGAATTCGGGTTCACCCGACCCACAGACCAAAACTACACTCCGGACACACCTCTTTCTATCGTTACTATAGGTCTCGTTCGGTCCCGGCCCAGGGTGCCCCGGGCTTGGGTTCCCGTCTTGGGGAACTAAAATACTACCTTTTCACCCTTCCCTTCCCCCTTTTTTTTTTTCTTTCTTTCTCTCTCCTCCTCTTCTTCTTTTTCTTTCCCCCCTCCCCTTCTCCTTTCTTATACGAATCGGACTTAAGGGAACACCTCGCTTGTACCGCGAGAATGGCATACCGAAATACACCCCTGAGGATCCTCACCCAGAACTGCAGAGGCCTCAATATCCCTGAGCGTAGGACTCACCTACTGAGGGAGCTGAAGCAAAAACATATAGCAGTGGCCCTGATCCAGGAAACCCACTTCAAGGAAGGCGCGGCACCTAAGCTACAAAACAAACACTACCCGAACAACTATTTCTCTAATCACTCGACGTCACATAAAGCGGGCACAGCCATACTCTTAGCAGCCGAGCTTGAATTCAAAGAATTAGAGAGAACACAAGATTCACACGGACGGTATCTCTTCTTAAAAGGAATCATAGCCGACAAGATATACACCCTGGCAAACATCTACGTTCCCAACCGAAGACAGGCTACCTTCCTCCGAAACACGCTGCACATATTAGAAGAATTCACTGATGGCATACTAATCGTCGGAGGGGATTTTAACGTACCCTTGGACCCAATATTGGACTCCTCATCGGGACATAGTAGTATTTCACAAAACAACATCCGATCGATCTGAAAATCGCTGGAAGAACTGAGACTGGTGGACGGCTGGAGAACACTCAACCCAACGGTAAAAGATTATACTTACTACTCCGCTCTTCACAACCGATACTCTCGCATAGACTACCTCTTCATAACACAGGAAGGACTCGCTCGCTTACTCAAAGCGGACATCGACCCGTCTACATGGTCGGACCATGGCTCGGTGAGGCTAGAGATGGAATCCCCCATGTTTCGCCCAACTACGTGGACGTGGAGACTTAACGAAGCTCTCCTACTCGATCCAGCCACCAAAGAACAAATAACCAAAGAGCTAGAACAATACTTCAGAGACAACGACACACCAGAGGTCTCCCCGATAACCATATGGGAAGCACATAAGAGCGTCGTTCGCGGAACACTCATCCGCATTGCCTCGCAAAAACGGAAAGCGAATATGATCGAGATGACTAACCTATACCAAAAGATATCAAAGCTGGAAAGTCAACACAAAAGATCCCAACTACATGAAACATACGGGGAACTGATGGAACACAGAAGGGCACTTAAGAGACTCATCACAAAAAAACATCTCTGAAATCTCCAACGCACGAAGGGTTTCTACTATGCACACGCCAATAAAGGGGGGAAATACCTGGCTAGATTATTAAAAGGCCCTACGCCTCGTAGACAAATACGCAAACTTCGCCTCTCCTCAGGAGAAATGACCCCCTATCCACAAAAAAATTGCCGATGAGTTTAGGACCTACTATGAAACACTTTACAACCTGAGCCCACCCATGGGGACGACGAGCGACGAAAGAAGAGCCACTCAGATACGAGATTACCTCTCTGACACGATCGTCAAAACGATTAACCAGGAATCAGCTTCGGCACTCGACATGCCAATCAGCACGGAAGAGCTTGCGGCTGCACTGAAAGCGTCCAAATCAGGCAGGGCACCTGGACCAGATGGTTTTTCAACTGGATACTATAAGAGCTTCCCGGATCTCCTGATACCGTGGCTAACTAAAGCGATCAACGCGGTGGGTGACGGAGGGCACCTGGGCGCGGAATCCTTAGCCGCGACCATCACGGTCTTGCTCAAGCCAGGAAAGGACCCATTGCTTTGCGGCAGCTACCGTCCCATTTCGCTGCTCAATGTAGACGCCAAACTAACCACGAAAGTCATAGCTAGCAGGCTCAACAACTTTCTTCCAGAATTGATACACGCAGACCAGACAGGCTTCATCCCGGGCAGAGAGGCCAGAGATAGCACCTTGCGACTGTTCTCAATCCAACAACACGCAAGAAAGACAAAAACTAAAATGCTATTACTATCCACGGACGCGGAGAAAGCGTTTGACAGAGTCGACTGGTCGTACATGATGGCCACCTTACAACATATGGGATGCGGACAGAGACTACTCGCATGGGTATCAGCCTTCTATAGCAAACCGCACGCAAATGTGAGAGTAAACGGAGCCACGACAGCGGACTTTACAATTAACAATGGTACCCGTCAAGGTTGCCCACTGTCTCCACTTTTGTTCGCTATGACCCTAGAACCACTGCTCCAGAAGATACGACTAAACCCAAACATTCAAGGATACGACTGGCGTGGAACACACCATAAAGTGGCTGCGTACGCGGATGACCTCCTATTCTTTATACAGCACCCTAGGACAACTCTACCATGCCTCCTTTCCGAATTCGACAATTTCGGGAAAATCTCGGGCTTCAAACTCAATCTCTCAAAGTGCGAGGTCCTGAACATTACGATCCCCACGGAAGAATACATATCCCTGGACTCGCTATTCGCTTTTCACTGGTGTTACGGCCGGATGAAGTATCTGGGCATCTGGGTGACCACAGACCCAGAAGACATATACCGTCTCAATTTTGTCCCCCTTCTGAAAACAATTCTAGCGGACTTAGCTAGATGGTCGTACCCACATGTAACCTGGCATGGACGAGTCGCGATCCTCAAGATGAACATATTGCCGAGAATTCTATACCTTATGCAAACGATTCCACTAACCATCCCAGGGACCTTCTTCTCCACCCTGAAAACAGCGATAATTAAATTTGTGTGGCGAGGGGAACGCTCTCGAATTCAACATGACATACTCTGCCGCCCAAGGAACCAAGGTGGACTAGCCTTACCAGATGTCAAAAAATATCACCAAGCTACAGTAATGCAACGGATACTGGACTGGCACCAGGAACCTACAACGAAACAATGGGTAGAACTCGATAAAGGCCTTATCGGACCAACACTGGAAATGAGGATATGGGGAACGACGAGAGGCCCGATGGCCCACAACAATGAGGGGCTGATAACACAAACAATCGCCGGTTGGAAATCGCTGAGAGACCAGAGCTATATATCGCCCACCCCTAGCCCGATGATTCCACTCACCCATAACGCGGCCTTGGGAGGTGGACTCCCGCCCGGCGCATGGCCCATCCCAAGCGAGAAGAACTATATCCCCATATATAAAGCCCTCGAAGGTGGCAGAATCCGGGATCTAACTGCATTACTAGGGGACGGTCCAAGGACCCCCTCACGGTACTCAGATACCTAAAGTTGAAACACTACCATGACACAATGCCACATAAAGAACGTTTACACAGAGACCTCACCTGGTTCGAGGGCCTCTGTGACAATGGCACCACACTTGACCATGCTATATCAGCCCTCTACCAACACCTACTTATTGGAGACACGACCCAGGCTTCTACCTTCCGTCGCCAATGGGAAGGACAACTTCGAAAAACGCTCACACCTTCACAATGGGATTTGGCATTGCTATGGCAGCAAAAAAGCTCTATGAGTTCATATTACCAAGAGGTGAATTACAAACTGCTCTCCCTCTGGTACAGAATGCCATCCCTCCTAAACCAGATCTTCCCGTCAACCTCCCCGATGTGCTGGAGATGCCAGACAGAACGTGGCACTTTGATACATATATGGTGGGAATGCAGAGACATTACCCCATACTGGGCAATGATTAAGGACACTGTGACTGACATTCTGGGCGATGTCCCGGAATGGAACGCGGAATTAGCCCTACTACACATAACGACACAATCGATCCGCGGCCAAAGCTAACATACCGGCACACTGGAAGACAAGTGATGTACCAACTAAAGAAGAATGGATCCGCAGAGTAGAAGATATTCACGGAGCGGAAGAAATACACGCTTCTCTGACGGGTCGAGCAACAAAACACACAGAACTGTGGCTCCCATGGTTCCTCTATATTACCCGCTACAGACAGGCAGGTAATGCCCCCGAACCCACTGACGGGGCAACATCAGATGCGGATCCCACAGGACACAGTCCACCCCCCCCTTAGCCACATTTCCTTCCCCCTCCCCTTTTATTTTTTTTTAAATTTTTTTTTTTTTTTTTCTCCCTCTCTCTCTTTCTTTCTTCTTCTTCTTCTTTTCTTCTTTTCTCTTCTTACCTCTCTCTCTCTCTTCCATTTCGCTGGACGGGCCCCAGAACCGGGGAATCGGGATCGGGATCGGAGAGATACATTACCATAAAAACAAAGGGGGGAAAAAAGGGAAGGGTAAGAGAAAAAAAAGAAAAAATCTATCGACTTCTGAAACTCTAAAAAGAGGAACACCCAGCCCTGACGGGATCTGAGGAGTGTTCAGACTCCCTAGGGAAACACGAGTCAAACCATACCTTGTTAAACGTTCCAGTATCAAAATGTCAAAAGTAGAGCTCACGCTCATATAACACAACAGTCACGCAACATCTTAAATCCACTCCAATCACACATTACTAGGTCTCCGACACACACACCACTAACGACACTAAGGCATCACGCATGGGAAATTTTACGGACTGTAGGCTCTGCTGCAAGTAGTAATGACAACACCCCTAGCCATATAAGATAACGCACTAGAAACGGGGACACGTATTATACAATCCACTAAACCTACTCTCATGGCACGCTATAGACCCGCATACACACCTGGAACGCAAAGACCCGTGAGTCTCAACGTTATATCTCACTACCTTACATATCTCACTAACTCGCACCTAGGGACACTCACATATTCTATCGCTTGACACAACGAGGCCAAGTAATAAAGTCAAATGGAAGGAGGTGGGGAGATGGAACTACAGAGTGTGAGGAATAAGGGAAACAACACCTTTACGTTACAAAAACTGTACAGGCCCTCCCCTCCCGACCTGCATATTTTGGTGTACTGCACGATGTCTAAAATTTTGCATTATCACGACTGTTATTTCACTCTGTCATATAACAAAAAAGATTTACCCCCCCCCAAAAAAAAAAGTTATGAAACTCACGGGGAAATACTGACGAGAACCTCGACACAATGTGATTAATATCCTCAAATTGGTGGTATGTTGGAGACCTGCGCGTCTCAACTTGTAAAGCTTTTTTAAAGTATGTACTGCTTGTTTGAACTACTTATCAATAAAAACAGATTTAACAAAAAAAAACTGTGACTCTGTACATGATGTATTTCTGCTTTAAAAGGGGCTCCCACTCCGGGGAATAAAGGATTCCTCAGGTTTTTCACTAATCAGAAACTTTGTCTCCGGTGTGAATTACTTCTAGGAAGAGCGTGCACACATTAATCAATCAATTTGGAAGGAGTAGATAGACAAATAATCAAAGTTTTCTTTGATCTAAATCAAGAACACAACATAATCATAGGAGATTCACACATTACAACAAGTTTGATGTATTATCGGAGAATTCACCTGGAGACTCAAGAGACCTTGCATCCCCATCTTTTTTAGGGCAATGCCCTCTGAGGAGGGAGATGACAGGTTTTCCCCAGAAAAGGAGATCTCAGGGAATAGGAGAGGAAACAGAGCAGGACGACTCTTGGAGGGGAAGAATATTAGATCAATAGGTATCTTCAATTTGACAGATAAAATTCTGACTAAACCCTAAATTGAAGTTCTAGAGAAAGGGTTTAAATATGTGCCATCAGAGTATAATAGATCTTTCAATACTTAAGATATAAATAAGTTTATAAGAAAAATGTGCATAAAACTATTTTTAATAAAACGCCCCTCTTAGAACCTATTGAATATCCTCAAGACTTTCAACATACTCAATTAAAAAAGAAATCTACATTCTTCCCAAGGCAATTGATAAATGGAGGGATGAAAGTATGAACGCCTAGTTATGGAGGAAGTAAGAAATTTAGAGAATTAAAGCAAAAAACATTATAGAAATGACAATATGAATCCCCATCAAAGAAAGGCAATAAAGGAACTCCAATCTGACAAAGATATAACTATAAAACCCGCTGATAAAGGGGGTTGGGGGGGAATAGTGATTCAAAGCAGGAACCAATATATTAAAGAAATTTATAGACAGTTGAATGATCAAACCATGTATAAAGAGTGACCCTATAGCACAGATAAGGAAAGAGTATTCTTCGCTCCTGAATAGAGGTAGAATACTGGGAATTATAAATAGAAACGAGTTCCAATATTTGGATATAAACATATGTAGAACTCCAGTATTCTACACACTCCCAAAAATTCACAAAAATGAGGAAAACCCACCTGGCAGACCTATTGTGTCAGGAGTGGGGGCTATCCATAGTAACTTGTCAGAATACATCGATAGACCATTACAGCCATTACATGCCTGACATCAATCTGCACTTCCTGACACTCTGTTTCAGAAGCCAAATACCACTTAGCGACCTGGAGCTGGAGGAAGCCTTTGGGGTTAAACCATTTGAGAGCGATTTAACCCCTTAAAGGAAAGCGAGCACCCAGGGGCTTCCTGGCATCATAGCATTTTCATTTAGGTGAAGTTGTTATGGTGACCAGAATGGTTCTTTAATTTGCTTAAAGGAACACTATAGTGTCAGGAATACAAACATATATTTCTGACACCATAGTTGTGAAAACGCTATTCACCCTGGCTTTATGTGATAATGGCTATGCCCCTTCCCTTTCATGACACTGTCAAAAAGGTACCAAGCATGGATGTCATTACAATTATGCCCCCCCCTGGAAAAATTCCTGCGGACGCCCATGCTGTGAAGCAGTAGAGTTCTTCCTTAAGAACCAGAGTAACTTAACCCCTTAAGGACGGAGCCAAATGTACATGTTGTGAACTAAACAAAATGTAAACAAAACCTGGCATTTGCGCTACATGTCTGTCCAACCGTAATTCAACTCTTTCATAGTAAATGCACCCACCCTTATTATATATCATTTTATTCAGGGGAAACAGGGCTTTCATTTAATATCATATATTTAGCTATGAAACATAATTTAATATGAAAAAAATGGGAGAAAATAAGATTTTTTATTTTTTTTAGTTCTACATGACATTTTAACTGTCAATGTCATAATACTGTTTGCTTTTACTGCAATAAAATACACATATTTGTATTCAGCAAAGTCTCACGTGTAAAACAGTACCCCCTATGTACAGGTTTTATGGCGTTTTGGGAAGTTACAGGGTCAAATATAGCACGTTACATTTGAAATTGAAATTCGTCAGATTGGTTACGTTGCCTTTGGGACTTTATAGTAGCCCAGGAATTAAATTTACACCCATAATGGCATACCATTTGCAATAGCAGACAACCCAAGGTATTGCAAATGGGGTATGTCCAGTCTTTTTTAGTAGCATTTGGTCACAAACAATGGCCAAAGTTAGCGTTAGTATTTGTGTGAAAAATGCAAAAAAACGCCAATTTTGGCCAGTGTTTGTGACTAAGTGGCTACTAAAAAAGACTGGACATACCCCGTTTGCAATACCTTGGGTTGTCTAATATTGCAAATGGTATGCCATCAAAGGGGTAATTTTCATTCTTGGGCTACCATAGGGTCTCAAAGACACCGTAACCAATCTGGCGAATTTTAATGTGAAAAAAATGAAACGCAAGCCTTGTATTTGACGCTGTAACTTTTGAAAACACCATAAAACCTGTACATGAGGGACACTGTTGTACTCAGGAGACTTCGCTGAACACAAATATTTGTGTTTCAAAACAGTAAAAAGTATCACAGCAATAATATTGTCCGTATAAGTGCTATTTGTGCATGAAAAATGCAAAAAACATCACTTTTACTGGCGATATCATTGTTGTAATACATTCTACTGTTTTGAAACACTAATATTTGTGTTCAGCGAAGTCTCCCGAGTAGAACAGTACCCCCCATGTACAGGTTTTATGGTGTCTTGGAAAGTTATAGGGTTAAATATAGTGCTAGCAAATTAAATTCCCTTTACTTTCGGCATGGGTTGTCAGGCAGGTCCCTCTAATTGTAATTAATTAAGATACCTAATTATGTAAAAATATTACATAAATATATATGTAGAATTAATATATGTATATATATATACGTATGTGAATCTATATGTGTATATATATATATATAATTTTTTAAAAATATTTTTATTTATATATAGGTATATATATAGTGATATATATGTATATATTTATGTATGTAGATATATATATTATTTCGTTCTACGTGTATTTTGATATAAATATATATATATTAATATCACAATACAGTTACAACAAAATAACACACATCTATATATTTTTTAATTATTTTTTAAAAATTATTTTTTTAATTTTATTTTTTAACGTAGTAACATATTTTTTTTATATTATATATAAATATATATATAACAATAATTATATATAGATTTAATCAGTATCAGTCTACGTGTAATTTGATATTTATATATATATATATATATATATATATATATATATAATTATATATATATTAATAGTAAAATATACCTAGACAGTGTATGTGTGTGTATGTATATGTGTATATATATATATATATATATATATATATTTTTTTTTTTTTTTACACTTTACTTTTTAATTAATGTATTTAAATTTTATTTCCAGCCAGCAGGGGGACCACCTGTCATTACATGCAGCCCCCTGCTGGCAATGCAGGAGGCAGCTACCCCCAGCCATGTGATTGTGGGGTCCTCGCAAGGACCTCACTCTCACATGGCCGGGGGGCACCGGAGGAGGAGGATCTACCGCGGGGGGGCTCCCTGGGTAAGTAAAGAAAGACCGGAGGGTTTATAGCCGCCTAAAATAGGGCGTAATTGGACGCCCTCCGGTCTTAAGGGGTTAAAAGAAGAACAAACAAAATGTATTTTGGATGAAATTAAGCTCATCCTTTGTAATAATTATTTTTGGTTTGATGAAAAAATCTTTCTGTAACTTAAGGGGAATGCGATGGGAACCAGATTCGCGCTCAGCTACGCCAATCTATTTATGGCCCACTGGGAAAACCCGGACATAAAACTGATGCAAGTCATGCATCAACTTCTTGGACCTAAGTATCTATATAGAGGGTCAACTTATTAAGACCAAAACATTTTCAAGAAGATTGATGTTAATGGCTATATTAAAACTTCAAGCTGCCATTATGATCCGTGGCTACACAACACCCCTAAGGGCCAATTTTTATGACTATTTCGAAATTGTAGTGATATTAAAACCTTTGAGTAACAGGCAGTTTGCCTAGAAAGAAGATTTATGGAGAAAAACTATAAAATAAAGGAATTGGATGAATGTGTAGATACCATTAAGAAAATGGATCGAAATATGGTCCTAAGTAATAAGACCTTTAAAAAGGATAAAGATGACACTAATCAATTAGTACCAATTATCTTTAATTATAGTGAAGATGAAAAACAGGTCAAACACATCATAAATAAATATTGGCGTGTCTTAAAAACTGACCCGAACCTAGAAGGGATTATTGGAGATAGGCCACAAATCATCTACAGAGGAGCAAAAAATGTGAAGCAATATCTGACCACTAGATTTATCAAAGATAAAATAAAAGTAAATAACCATTTTGGTGTTGAAAGGGGATTTTACCCCTGCATATCTTGTCCAGCTTGTAGGAAAACTTTATTCAATAAACTGAAACAGACAGAATTTGTTTCACATTCAACTAATCGCACTTTTAGAATTTATTAAACGTTAACCTGCAATTCCACCAAATGTCATATACATCCTCTGGTGTCCATGTGGTCTGCAATATATTGGAATGACCACGCGAGCCTTAAAAACTAGGGTTGCGGAGCACATTGGTAACATCCAGAGGGGGTATATGAAACCCCCAACATCCAGAGGGGGTAAATGTCAGCCCATTTCGCTGACAAACATAGGAGTGACCCCTCCGTATCATCATATATGGTTATTTATAAGAAATATAAGAATTGGAGGGGGGAAAATAATATAAAAGAGCCAGCTAAGATAGATGGCAAGTGGATTTTTTTTATAGGCATTTTTATTACATTTCACAGATATTTTTCATAGACTGTAAGTAATCCCCTTATGTATGTAATAT